GAGATAGAGAGAGAGATAGAGAGCGAGAGAGAGAGAGATAGCGATAGAGAGAGAGCGAGAGTGATGAGCATCGCTACTTAGACTCTCTAGTAAGGTCTCTCTATCTCTCTACTCTCGCTGCGCCTCGATCTTCGCGCTACTCAGCTCTCTCTCTCGCTTCTCTCCTTCTCTCCTCGCTCTCTCTCTCTCTCTCTTAGAGAGAGCTGCTGAAGTCTGCTAATATGTTCTCTATCACACTGCACAGTTTGTTAGTTTGGTTTCACAGACACTGCTGAAGTCAGATTTTGTAATTATTCAGTGCAGCTTTAATACAAGTGTGGTGCTATCTTCGAAGTGTCTGCCACTAATTTATTTATTGACTGCTGCAATTGCATTTAGCCATTTTCAGGAACTATCAACTTGATAGTGCTTATTGATTCCCCACTGGATTGTATTTTACATGTCAAGATGTGAGCTCAAACTACAGTAAAGGTCAAAGCCTGATTTATTCATGCCATATAATCCCATAATTAGGGCCGGCACATTTACCGTATAACGATGTATTGGACGGTTAAGGATGAAGACCGTCATGAAAATAAAATAACTGTTGAATGAACAGCTGACTGAAGACGGGACGGCCGTGCTGTTGAGTCCCTTTCTGCGGCAACATGGACTCAACAACGTGATGAAACTTTGTTGCTCCTTGCTGGAACAAGCAAGGTGTTGTAGCAAACAAGCACACATAGAAAGGTGCAAGCAAGGTGCAGCAGCAGCACTCATAGAAATAAAATGAATAGAACGGGCTTGGAACCCTGGCAATTTGACTGGTAAACTAATGGGTACACTCGCAATGGCTGCCTGGTATTGTGATGCAATCATTTCCATGGTAATGTTGAATGTTAATTCAAATTATGTTAACTGATGTGGCTCATGCAATGGAATGTTGAATCTACAAATCACAGCACATCTTGATGGGTACACTTCCTGCTTTTACTTCCTGCTTTGCTCCTATGGGTACACTCACAATGGCCGCCAGTCAACCCATTATGCCATGGTCAGTGCTATCCGGAATCCTTGGGACGTCCCTACCCTAAACCGTAACCTTAAAGGGATACTTCAGGATTTTGGCAATGAGGCATTTATCTACTTCCCCAAAGTCAGATGAACTTCTGGATACCATTTTTGGGTGTGTTCGTAAATTCACTCTGGAGTACCAGAGTTCGCTCTGGGCATTTTTAAATTCAGAGAGTTGTCAGATTGTTCGATCATAAAGTTAGAGCGTTTCGCTCTCGGAACATTCTGCGCGCACACTGGACGCTCTGGCCGAGGAGTACGGTTGAACTGAGCGTTCTGACCTCACAACAGCAGTCAAGCACCCAAGCTAACTGGACTAAAGTTGGCTAGCTTGCTTGCTACTTCCAGACACATGAGAGAACACCTCACTCTGATAATTTTACTCACCCTAGCAGAGCTGGTTAGACTGTTTTCATGTTATCCGCTGATGACTAGCTGTGCTGCTGGCAGCAATTCAATTATGTTTTTCTGCCGACGTTTACTGACCCTTACAAAAAAAAGATAGCCGTTTTGAAACTGCAGTAAAAGTGCAGTAACTGCAGTCGACTGTGGTATTTTGGACGCAGTAATTGCAGAATAACTGTAGTGTACTGGAGTTATACTGCACTCTAACTGCAGTTATACTGCACTCTGACTGCACATTTTTTTCATAAGGGGACACCGGTCATATTCAACGGATGATGCGCGTTCGTAAATTCATCAGTTATTCTGCGCTCTGGCATACTCAGACGAGTGCTCTGAAATCGGAGTAGATAGCCAGAGTGAATTTACGAACGCACCCTTTATGTCTCTGCGTGCAGTTTGAAGGAAGTTGCTAACTAGCGCTAGCGCAATTGCTAACTAGCATTGGAGCAATGACTGGAAGTCTATGGGTATCTGCTAGCATTGGCTCGCGAAACTACCTCTAACACCCTCTGAATGGCACACATACACAATCCATGTCTCAAGGCTTAAAAATCCTTCCTAATGTTTTGTACACTTGTTTTTTTGCTTATGAAGCGTTTTGAGATTTATATTATGGAAAGTGCTTTTGAAGTTTAATGTATTATTATTATTAATACAATTTGTACACTTGTACAGAACAGTACAACCAGTGTGTGGAGATTAACAAGGCTGTTATTAACGTCTATATTGTTGCTCCTGTTCCTATACAATCCATAGTGCATAGGCCTTCAGTATTCCTATCACCCTGACCTTTGGCTCAATCTCTCAGTAATGTCTGTAATCTTGAGCGGTAGGTAGCTCCAGGCCTTCCAGGGCTCTAGCTGTGCTGTTGGACAAACCGTTCCCCTCTGGACCCAGGCTAGTCAGTCACAGCAAGAGAGGCTTGGCCTGAAGCTCAATATCTGATGAGGCAGCTACAGGCACTGGCTCAGGCCACAGCTAGGTGTCACAATCAACCAGGCCCCCACACTAAAATAACTGTAGGCTAGCCTTACTGTGTTGTGTGAGCTTATGGCCTCTGGCAACAGGTCTAGACCTTTATGGCACACAGGTGTGGACTAGCCAGGTAATTAAAGAGTCAGTACAGGCCAGCAGGGTTCAAGCCCCTCTCCATCTTGTCTGCCTCGATCACTACAGCCTTTGATTCTTATTTCCAATGCATATCCTGAAGACTAAACACTACAAAATTTGTTTGAAAGCTGTATTAGTCATTGTTTTGAAATATCTGGACGTTTCTGATTATCACTATTCAAATCGTCTATCTCGCGACCTGTGGCTGTAGCTGTCAGTTGAGTTGACAGCTGTCTGATCATTTGAACTATCGCATGAGTCCCCCTAGTGGCAGCAATGGCCTGACTGTATGAGTGGCTATGTGTGCACAGTTTTATGGTATGTTGAATCATGTTACCATGACTAATCATATTTTGTATTTAGTAAAGAGTATGCATTGGATTCTTTAAAATAAGTGTTTTAGCTCAGTGGCCAGTTTATTAGGTATACCCATCTAGTACCGGGTCGGAAACCCCCTGTTAGCCCCCTGTTAGCTTGCACGATTCTTGCCATTCTCCTTCGACCTCTCATCAACGAGCTGTGTTTCGCCCACAGGACTGCCGCTAACTGGATGTTTTTGGTTGGTCGCACCATTATCGGTAAACCCTAGACACTGTCATGCGTGAAAAGCCCAGGAAGCCGGCAGTTTCTGAGATACTGGTACCGGCGCGCCTGGCCCCGACGATCATACCACGCTTAAAGTCGCTTAGTTCACCTGTCTGCCTGCTTTATATAGCAAGCCAAGGCCACGTGATTCACTGTCTGTAGGAGGGAACTATTTTCGTGAATGGGGTGGTGTACGTAATAAACTAGCCACTGAGTGTATGATAACCTTGCTGGCATGGCATTCAAACATCACAGTACTGAGCACATGCCATGATCGACAGACTGTGTTGTTTTGTAACTGTCTGAGCTGAAGCATAATTGGGCAGGATAACAAGCTGCATGTTCTTTATGATTGAACCTCAACATTCTTGCCACATGACTGTATCCATTCTCTATATAGATTGATGTGGTTGACCTTGTGCTCGAGTGTGAGGTGTCATACAATGGCACCTTTTCAGTTGGTTTTTGAAGAAAAAATGGAGTGTCACGTGCATCACCTTTTCAGTACACACACAGGTGGTTGGTCACGAGGCTGTGGAGGCAGTTGATCCCCAGACAGATTAGGCTGTAATCAGAAGTCTCTGTGGGCCAGGGCTCAATCAGCACCTCTGGGCTCTCCCCTCCTCAGGGTGGTTAAAGGATGGCTGGAGACAGAGTCATTCCTATGGGGATTCTAACAACACTCCACTTTGAGAGGGAGAACACTCATTGACGTCATATACATTTCTGTAAAATACTGCTATGTTTATATATGACATAATTGCATACCATTACACTGGATGGAACATATTCAATTATAGTCTCATTAACAAAATGATCAACCACAGCCATGATTCCAGGTTAGCCAGTTGATCACAGATTCGGGAGACAGCCTGGTCTCTGTTGAGAGTTGTCCATCTTGAAAATGCCCCTGTCTTGTTTTATAACAAAGAAAGTGTTATGTATGTTTCCATTCAAATGTCATGAATCATCCTTAGCCTCTCTTAAGAATTCCCTGCCTGATATTCTTAATACAATATGGGTTATGAGGATCATAGACAACGTTGGTTATAGATCGCAGGGCTTCATAGGCAGCGACAGGCTGGTGTGTTTTGTGATTGATTTATGTAGCTTAAAAGCTCTTCTGTTATTTCATCTGATTTACTGTCAGATTAAACAGCTGCTCCTCATCCTTATTGGATGGGCCTTGGGATGAGACACTGGTTGGGAATAGGGCCATAAATTACCCTTCTCTCTATTGGCCCGCAGTGAGGGAAGAGAAGAAGGGATGTGCTGCCTGCTATAGGGATGGGATGAGGATTCCCGGGCTTGTATCACTGCGAAAGACAAAGAGGTGCTTTAGGAGATCAATCTCAAAAAGTATCCCTTTGTAATACGCTCGTTGTGTAACATTGATCATACTGTAGGCCAAAGCAGAGTGGAGTGAAGGACCTTATTCTAGTCTAAAAGCTTTCTTTGTGTATAATGACAGTCTTGAAACATGACAAGTGCTTTGAAGTTTGTGTAATTTCTCTGAAGAATGTGAATGAGTTTGGAGTATGTTCTTCTCATTTTCCACTTTACCATTTTACCTACTAAAATATTTATTTGTTTGAGCTTATGTTTGTAATTGAGTGAGACAATTGACACAAGTTTTAATGCTGTAATTGTTGTTTGCATGTGTTTCGTCTAAGGACACATTTACTGTAAACTACCCTCTCTCAGCTCATAGACATTCTCTCTCTCTTCTGTTGTTTTTCTCTCTACTCTCTGTTTGTCAGTTGGACCTCAAAGGAGTCCGTCTTGACATTTTAGTGCGCATGATGTCTCCATGAGTCTGACAAAGTCGGTTTCTGTCTGTCTCCAGGTTCGATTACCAGGAGCTGCTCCATAACTCCAGCTTCTGCCTGGTGCCCCGCGGTCGCAGGCTGGGCTCCTTTCGCTTTCTCGAGGCCCTCCAGGTACGTGGATTGACGTTTCTCCGACAAAAACCCTGTCCCTCCGAGGCTCTTGGAAACGGGTGCTAGTCGTCGGTACGGCAGCCGGGTTTGGAGCCTGTGAGTTGTGCAGACCCTGCAGTCTGCCAGGCCTGATGCTTGGGTTATTGGTATTGACAACCTGTCATCTTTTCAGAAACAGCTGCAGAAGAGTTCTGTACTACAGATACAGAAGAAACCTATTTTTATCTCAACACCTCCCACTTTCATTAACACCTGATCTCCTCCTCCTCTCAGGCATGTTTATTTGGACTGACAGTAGCCAGTCCCACTGAGCCTCTATAGAAGTATCTTAGGATTGTTTGTTACTTGGAACCATCCCATTGTGGATGTGCATGTGTCTCTATATCGACAGAGGAAGTTATGGACATCCAGATACACTGAGGCCTGCATGTCTAAAAAGTAAAGAATGAAGGAAGTAGCCTATAATTTCTACCCCATTTCTACGGGGGGTCAGTGCAGCAGTTAGGCAGACACTGTAGGTAACAATTTAAATTTATGAATAATCATCTCACAGAGTACCGACTGAGAGCTAGCTGGAATTACGGCCCCCAAATGGTGCGTTCTGTGCTGCCTTTTAAGTGTGAGGCAGTTGCATTCCGCACCCAGATTTCAGAGGGGACACTTTGAAAAAGGAACATCAAAAGGCTTTTAGACATGACACAGATTGAGCTTTGATATTATGAGGCAGCCCTCTCCCATTTGTCCTCTCTACACGTCAGTGAGGCTCAAACAAGGGCTGTTATGCCGATGGGTGGAAGGAAAAGACTGGGGCTGGTGTGGCAGCAGACAATGATTTGTTTCCCTCCAACAGCAGAGGGGAGAGAGGGGAGGGGGAGAGGGGAGGAGAGGAGAATGAAAGGAGGGGAGGGGGAGAGGGGAGGAGAGGAGAATGAAAGGAGAGGAGGGGGGAAGAGGGGAGGAGAGTGGAAAGAAGAGGGAGAGGAGAGGGAGATGAGATGAGTGGGAAAGGAGAGGAGAGTGATGATGCCACGACACTGAGCCAAGCCATGCAAATCACTAAAGAGCAGAGGGGATTTAAACACAGACAGGCCACCACCAATCCTGGACTTGGCATTTCTCACAAAGCCCCCCTAAGCCCCAAATGAGTGTCAACTTTTAATGATGGAGATCCAAGTCTCACTTGAAATTTAAACATGGTTTCATGGTTCTGCACAGTTCAGTATGCTGCCTTGGCTTTTATTATTTTAGTATACAGTATGTATGATCGATGACTACAAAACACATCAAATTAGATCCCTCTAAATGCAGTGCCACTGTATAGGAAATTAAAAGGGATTCTGATGAAGTAGGTGATATGAATGTATCCGTAAGTGCTAACACACACATTTAAACACATGTTATTCTCCCTAAATATGGTTGCCACTTCGGTTTTCTCACCTCTGAGCATCCATTAAAAGTTAATCCTTTGTAAACTTACCTTGATAAAGAATTTGATTCCCGTAAAAGCCTGGCTTTAAGTTTGTGATAAGGAGGTTTGTGTTGCTATGGTGTTTATTTTAACGGAATTGTGTAAACAGGTTTAAGGAGCAGGGTTGTAGGTGCCAGAGCACGGGGGAGAGGTGCTTCCTCACCTTTTACATGGAGCTGGTAGAACTATTTCTGGAAAATGTATTCTGATAAATTCAAAATAAATTATATTTAATTACCACAAAAATTCAATGAAAAACAATAGAAAGACAAACCAAATAAATAGCCTTTGTATAGCAGCCTTGAGGTAGGTAAATGGTGGTTTCTTCCCCGTCTTCTTTTTAGAAATTTTAGCAAATGTATAAAAAAAAATAGATACCTTATTTACATAAGTATTCAGACCCTTTGCAATGAGATTCGAAATTGAGCTCAGGTGCATCCTGTTTCCATTGATCATTACATTTACATTTACATAATTTAGCAGACGCTCTTATCCAGAGCGACTTACAAATTGGTGCATTCAACTGATGATAGCCAGTGGGACAACCACTTTTATTTTTATTTTTTTATGGGGGGGGTGGGGGAGGGAGGGGTTGAAGCATTACTTTTATACTATTCCAGTTATTCCTTAAAGAGGTAGGGTTTCAAGTGTCTCCGGAAGGTGGTCAGTGACTCCGCTGTCCTGGCGTTGTGGGGGAGCTTGTTCCACCATTGGGGTGCCAGAGCAGCGAATAGCTTTGACTGGGCTGAGCGGGAACTGTGCTTTCGTAGAGGTAGGGGGAGCTAGCAGGCCAGAGGTGGATGAACGTAGTGCCCTCGTTTGGGTGTAGGGTCTGATCAGAGCCTGAAGGTAAGGAGGTGCCGTTCCCCTCACAGCTCCGTAGGCAAGCACCATGGTCTGGTAGTAGATGCGAGCCTCAACTGGAAGCCAGTGGAGTGTGCGGAGGAGCGGGGTGACATGAGAGAACTTGGGAAGGTTGAACACCAGACAGGCTGCAGTGTTCTGGATAACTTGTAGGGGTTTAATGGCACAGGCAGGGAACCCAGCCAACAGCGAGTTGCAGTAATCCAGACGGGAGATGACAAGTGCCTGGATTAGGACCTGTGCCGCTTTCTGTGTGAGGTACGGGTCGTACTCTGCGAATGTTGTAGAGCATGAACCTGCAGGATCGGGTCACCGCTTTGACGTTAGCGGAGAACGACAGGGTGTTGTCCAGGGTCAAGCCAAGGTTCTTTGCACTCTGGTAGGAGGACACAATGGAGTTGTCAACCGTGATGGCGAGATCATGGAATGGGCAGTCCTTCCCCGGGAGGAAGAGCAGCTCCGTCTTGCCGAGGTTCAGCTTGAGGTGATGATCCGACATCCACACTAATATGTCTGCCAGACATGCAGAGATGCGATTCGCCACCTGGTTATCAGAAGGGGGAAAGGAGAAAATTAATTGTGTGTCATCTGCGTAGCAATGATAGGAGAGACCATGTGAGGATATGACAGAGCCAAGTGACTTGGTGTATAGAGAGAATAGGAGAGGGCCTAGAACTGAGCCCTGGGGGACACCAGTGGTGAGAGCACATGGTGCGGAGACAGATTCTCGCCACGCCACCTGGTAGGAGCGACCTGTCAGGTAGGACGCAATCCAAGAGTGAGCTGCGCCGGAGATGCCCAACTCGGAGAGGGTGGAGAGGAGGATCTGATGGTTCACAGTATCAAAGGCAGCAGACAGGTCTAGAAGGATAAGAGCGGAGGAGAGAGAGTTAGCTTTAGCAGTGCGGAGAGCCTCCGTGACACAGAGAAGAGCAGTCTCAGTTGAATGACCAGTCTTGAAACCTGACTGGTTTGGATCAAGAAGGTCATTCTGAGAGAGATAGCAGGAGAGTTGGCTAGAGACGGCACGCTCAAGAGTTTTGGAAAGAAAAGAAAGAAGGGATACTGGTTTGTAGTTGTTGACATCGGAGGGATCGAGTGTAGGTTTTTTGAGGAGGGGTGCAACTCTCGCTCTCTTGAAGACGGAAGGGACATGGCCAGCGGTCAAGGATGAGTTGATGAGCGAGGTGAGGTAAGGGAGAAGGTCTCCGGAAATGGTCTGGAGAAGAGAGGAGGGGATAGGGTCAAGCGGACAGGTTGTTGGGCGGCCGGCCGTCACAAGTCGCAAGATTTCATCTGGAGAGAGACGGGAGAAAGAAGTCAAAGCATAGGGTAGGGCAGTGTGAGCAGGAACAGCGGTGTCATTTGACTTAATAAATGAGGATCATTTATCATCCTTGAGATGTTTCTACAACTTGATTGGAGTCCACCTGTGGTAAATTAAATTGATTGGACATTATTTGGAAAGGAACACACCTGTCTATATAAGGTCCCACAGTTGACAGTGCATGTCAGAGCAAAAACTAAGCCATGAGGTCGAAGGAATTGTCCATAGAGCTCCGAGACAGGATTGTGTCGAGGCACAGATCTGGGGAAGGGTACCAAAACATTTCTGCAGTATTGAAGGTCCCCAAGAACACAGTGGCCTCCATCATTCTTAAATGAAATAAGTTTGGAACCACCAAGACTCTTCCTAGAGCCGGCCACCCGGCCAAACTGAGCAATCGGGGGAGGAAGGGCCTTCAGTCTTAAATTAGACTATAGTCTACAAATAGCTATATACCACATAGTCGTAGGCCTATTAGGCTATACTGAAAATGATTATTGTTTGTTCCTGAACTGGCCGAATGGCATAGCTATCCTTCAACACCACAAGTTGGTTCAACATTGCACGATCCTGGCGCTGTCCTTTCAGCAGCACGAAGGGCCCTCCAATCACTTAAAATAACACTCAAGATCTGTTGCCTACGCCTAATAGTCCTAATCATCACTTATAATTGTTGTTACAAATAGAAGATTATCACTTACAGAACCGACAATAGCATAGCATGGTAGGCCTATAACAACATTACTATTACACCAAAAACACCTCATTTCTAATGAGATTTTAGGATGGTTAGCTGAAGCTGAATAGTAAAAAAAAAAATATATATATATATATATATATATAATGCGCCAAAACTCAACAGAGCGGGTAGGATATATGCTTTAATTGAAACAATATAGAAGAAAGGCTAATCGTTTTAGCACCATTGTCACGGATTCTGCCGAGGCTGCCCCTCCTTGCTCGGGCAGGCTTCGGCGTTCGTCGTCACCGGAATACTAGCTACTGCCGATCTATGTTCTATGTTCTACCTGTTGTTGTCTGATTGTCACACACCTGTTTCCCATCGTGTAATTACTCCTTCCCTATTTAACCCGGTGGCTCCCATTGTGTTTTGTGCGTGTTTGTTATTTCGTTTCGTGTGTCATTTGGTGAGCGGGTTTGCTCCTTCCTGTGTGGAGGTACTTTATATTTGTTTCTTTACTTGTTAGTAAAGTACGTTTTCATTGAGTTCTGTGTCCTGCGCCTGACTTCGACCCACCGCATTACACTGACACTCGTGACAACCATCTACTCAAATTCACTCACGAAACAGTAATTCAAGAAGATCTAAATGCATATTCCGATAAACCTGATTGATATCAAAAATACATCTTGAGACAATGTGTGTGGGTATAGAATTATGTTATATAGAATTACAGTGGGGGAAAAAAGTATTTAGTCAGCCACCAATTGTGCAAGTTCTCCCACTTAAAAAGATGAGAGAGGCCTGTAATTTTCATCATAGGTACACGTCAACTATGACAGACAAATGGAGAAAAAAATATCCAGAAAATCACATTGTAGGATTTTGTATGAATATATTTGCAAATTATGGTGGAAAATAAGTATTTGGTCACCTACAAACAAGCAAGATTTCTGGCTCTTCTGTCAAGCAAGATTAAGAGGCTCCCCTGTCCTCCACTCGTTACCTGTATTAATGGCACCTGTTTGAACTTGTTATCAGTATAAAAGACACCTGTCCACAACCTCAAACAGTCACACTCCAAACTCCACTATGGCCAAGACCAAAGAGCTGTCAAAGGACACCAGAAACAAAATTGTAGACCTGCACCAGGCTGGGAAGACTGAATCTGCAATAGGTAAGCAGCTTGGTTTGAAGAAATCAACTGTGGGAGCAATTATTAGGAAATGGAAGACATACAAGACCACTGATAATCTCCCTCGATCTGGGGCTCCACGCAAGATCTCACCCAGTGGGGTCAAAATGATCACAAGAACGGTGAGCAAAAATCCCAGAACCACACGGGGGGACCTAGTGAATGACCTGCAGAGAGCTGGGACCAAAGTAACAAAGCCTACCATCAGTAACACACTACGCCGCCAGGGACTCAAATCCTGCAGTGCCAGACGTGTCCCCCTGCTTAAGCCAGTACATGTCCAGGCCCGTCTGCAGTTTGCTAGAGTGCATTTGGATGATCCAGAAGAGGATTGGGAGAATGTCATATGGTCAGATGAAACCAAAATATAACTGTTTGGTAAAAACTCAACTCGTCGTGTTTGGAGGACAAAGAATGCTGAGTTGCATCCAAAGAACACCATACCTACTGTGAAGCATGGGGGGGGGGAAACATCATGCTTTGGGGCTGTTTTTCTGCAAAGGGACCAGGATGACTGATCCGTGTAAAGGAAAGAATGAATGGGGCCATGTATTGTGAGATTTTGAGTGAAAACCTCCTTCCATCAGCAAGGGCATTGAAGATGAAACGTGGCTGGGTCTTTCAGCATGACAATGATCCCAAACACACCGCCCGGGCAACGAAGGAGTGGCTTCGTAAGAAGCATTTCAAGGTCCTGGAGTGGCCTAGCCAGTCTCCAGATCTCAACCCCATAGAAAATCTTTGGAGGGAGTTGAAAGTCTGTGTTGCCCAGCGACAGCCCCAAAACATCACTGCTCTAGAGGAGATCTGCATGGAGGAATGGGCCAAAATACCAGCAACAGTGTGTGAAAACCTTTGAAAACGTTTGACCTGTGTCATTGCCAACAAAGGGTATATAACAAAGTATTGAGAAACTTTTGTTATTGACCAAATACTTATTTTCCACCATAATTTGCAAATAAATTCATTAAAAATCCTACAATGTGATTTTCTGGAATTTTTTTTCCTCATTTTGTCTGTCATAGTTGACGTGTACCTATGATGAAAATGACAGGCATCTCTCATCTTTTTAAGTGGGAGAACTTGCACAATTGGTGGCTGACTAAATACTTTTTTCCCCACTGTATATATTCAATAGGCTACATCTGTCGGTACAAACTTTGATTGAGGAAAAGATGACGTCATTTACATTTTTTATTTCGCGCTCCCTCACCTAAAGAACATTGCACTACACCACTGTTAAGGAGTGAAACTATTTCTCACTTCCATTATAAAGGTGCAGCTTTGAGGTAAACAACAAGTTTTTCTGAATATTAAAACAGGCTCAGTGAGTGATGAACTATGTTCAACAAACAATGAAAACAGAACTTTATCTAAAAATATATCTAATTACGCACCTATTTGTTTGTGATGCTAGTAACTCATTCTCTGCACTAATGATAAGACCCAATGGGTTCAACTAAATAACGTTATACAATACGCTCTACTATTGTGTGACTAACATTCCACCTTTTACTCTGTATGACAGGGCATTCAAATTAACCTGTTTGTAGACATGACTACAAAGAAATCTGCATATGCATATTCTATTACCACTGACCCTCTCTGTGCTTCCTCCCCCTGGGCTACCGTCCTCCTCCCCCAGGCTGCCTGTATCCCTGTCCTACTGAGCAACGGCTGGGAGCTGCCTTTCTCTGAGATCATCGACTGGAGCAAAGCAGCTGTCATCGGGGATGAGAGGCTCCTACTGCAGGTAACTACTGATGGAGACAACCTCCCTATGACACTTCTCTCTCTCACTCTCACTCTCTCTTTCTCATGCTATTATACTGTACCTTATGCTGTACCTTATGCTAGAACACAAGTCATTCACAACTCACATTGGGCTCTAAAGTAGCCCTTAGTTACGACCACTGGGATGGATAACTTTTACCGCTCTCTCCAAATGAATATATTAATACATTTTTGCAAACATACTACACTAACTTTTTGGGGGGTCAACATTGTCCTATCACAGCACTCCTGTTTGCTGTAATATTCTGTAACCTCAAACTACTCTCGTGTATCACTCCGCATTAGTCGCAGGTTGACGTTTATTGGGGTGAGTCTTGTCCTTGAGGCAGAACTGAGCGATTTCCCGCTAGTTGGGCCAGCTGCAAAGTAAAAATTCATGATTTTTTTTTGTTGCTTTTTGGTTATAATTGAAGGTTGGGGTTAGCAGTGTGGTTAGGTTTAAAATCTGATTTTAGTGACAACTCTGCAGAGCTGCACATTCCTACAGTTACCTTTTGTTAGCTTCATCAACTAGCCATTCTTCAACTTCACACACTATACCAGGGTTCTTCAATTCCGGTCCTGGAGGGCCGAAACACTTCTGTTTTTTATTTCTACCTGGTAGTTAATTGCACTCACCTGGTGTCCCAGGTCTGAATTAGCCCCTGATTAGAAGGAGAGGATAAAAACAGAGGTGTTTCGGCCCTCCAGGACCGGAATTGAAGAACCCTGCACTATACCAAGTATCCAGAATTAAAGGAAGTGATTCCTCATCTTGCCAGTCACACCTACGGTTTCAGAGGGTCTTGTTTGCAAGGGGGTGTGATGAAATGCTAGTATACCTGCACATATTAATCCACCCCACCCCTGCACCCACCTGCCCGTCTCCCATATGTCTCCCAGAGCAAGGGCCCTGTATCAATAAACTATCCCATTAATTATGTCATGATGTTTATATTCTTTAATTACTGAACTTATTAGCAGCTGATGTGGCGAAAAGGAAGAGGTTTGATTTACGATAGGCAAAATGTCACCCAGAACATGAAAGTAAATGAGGAAATGATGTGTGCCGAGATACGACAGGATTTCACTCGAAGGTGTCATTCCCCTTCTTGTCTCAGCTCCACCCCCCACTTATGAAATCAGCGCAATTATTAGAGGAGCTGCCTGCTGCCGTTGACCTGGGAACGACCTATGGTTCTATTGAAACCCGACACATTTATTTGATCTCAGACTACTGATGCACACAAAGATGGGATTTTAATTTGATTTGCACTCAATAGCACAGTTGAGTCCACACACAATGCAAATGCAGCCTATTAAAAGCTGTAAATGGTTTTAATACAAGTCCTGTAATTATTTGTGATTATACGCTGTTGAATGAAAGACATTCAGAGATGCTAGCTAATGTTTTTTCTCGCCCTCTTCACTCCCTGTCCAAAAAGCATGCTAATTATTGTCAGATATGGGTAGACGTGGAAAATATGCTGTGACAGGATATGAGGCACTCAAGGACATTTTGTCTTTAGAAGAAAGAAAAAAACAATGACAGCATTTGTGCACTAGGCACAAATAATTGTTACGTCTAATTAAATTAAGCACTTAGAAGTCAGACACACCAAGAAAACTGAGGGCCGATAGGTACTTAGCACAGTAGGATGCCGTTCCTTCTCTTGCTAGAACAAAAGATGTACCTGCTGCGTATCAACTTGGTACAGACGAACCTGACGTTTCTACTTGTAGAATCGCCCTGTACGTCAGTAGCCAACATACATGCCGGTGTAACCTAAAACATTATCCCAGTTTGAAATGCTGCTTGTGTATGCATTACGATATCAGCTAAAAATAAAACATGTTTTGGTCATGGAGTTAAAAAGCACATGGCTAGTTACACTACATTGCCAAAAGTATGTGGACACCCCTTCAAATTAGTGGATTTGGCTATTTCAGCCACACCCGTTGCTGACAGCAGTATAAAATCGAGGACAAAGCCATGCAATCTCCATAGACAAATATAGGCAGTAGAATGGCCCGTGCTGAAGAGCTCAGTGACTTTCAACGTGGCACCGTCATAGGATGCCACCTTTCCAACAACTCAGTTCGTCATATTTCTGCCCGGTCAACTGTAAATGCTGTTATTGTGAAGTGGAAAGGTCTAGGAGCAACAACTGCTCACCCGTGAAGTGGTAGGCCACACAAGCTCACAGAACGGGACCGGCGAGTGCTGATGTAACAGTGTTGCTTCCGTCCCTCTCCTCGCCCCTACCTGGGCTTGAACCAGGGACCCTCTGCACACATCGACAACAGTCACCCTCGAAGCACCGTTACCCGTCGCTCCACAAAGCTGCGGCCCTTGCAGAGCAAGGGAAACAACTACTTCAAGGTCTCAGAGCGAGTGACGTCACCGATTGAAACGCTACTAGTGCGCACCGCTAACTAGCTAGCCATTTCACACCGGTTACACTGAAGCGCGTCATAATTGTCTGTCCTCTGTTGCAACACTCACTACTGAGTTCCAAACTGCCTCTGGAAGCAACGTCAGCACAAGAACTGTTCATCGGGAGCTTCATGAAATGGGTTTCCATGGCCGAGCAGATGCACACCATGCGCAATGCCAAGCCTCTGCTGGAGTGGTGTAAAGCTCGCCACCATTGGACTCTGGAGCAATGGAAACGGATTCTCTGGAGTGATGACTCAGGCTTCACCATCTGGCAGTCCGACGGACTAATCTGGGTTTGGCAGATGCCAGGAGAACGCTACCTGCCCCAATACATAGTGCCAACTGTAAAGTTTGGTACAGGAGTAATAATGGTCTGGGGCTGTTTTTCATGGTTCGGGCTAGGCCCCTTAGTTCCAGTGAAGGGAAATCTTAACACTTCAGCATACAATTACATTCTAGACGATTCTATGCTTCCAACTTTGTGGCAATAGTTTGGGAAAGGCCCTTTCCTGTTTCAGGATGACAATGCCCTCGTGCACAAAGCAAGGTCCTTACAAAAATGGTTTGTTGAGATCGGTGTGGAAGAACTTGACTGGCCTGCACAGAGCCCTGACCTCGACCCCATTCAACACCTTTGGGCTGAATTGGAACGCCGACTGCGAGCCAAGCCTAAACGCCCAACATCAGTGTCCGACCTCACTAATGCTCTTGTGGCTGAATGGAAGCAAGTCCCCGTAGCAATGTTCCAACATCTAGTGGAAAGCCTTCCCAGAAGAGTGGAGGCTCCATATTAATGCCCATGGATTAAATTAACAATTGTCCTCATAAATCTACACACAATACCCCATAATGACAAAGCGAAAACTGGTTTGGAAATTAATAAAAAATAAAATAAAAATAAATCTGCAGCATTGAAGGTCCCCAAGAACACAGTGGGCACCATCATTCTTAAATGGAAGAAGTTTGGAACCACCAAGGCTTCCTAGAGCTGGCCTCCTGGCCAAACTGAGCAATCGGGGGAGAAGGGCCTTGGTCAGGGAGTTGACCAAGAACCCGTGGCACACCTGTATTTGGGAAGGTTCTCCCATTCTTCTCTGCAGATCCTCTCAAGCTCTCAGGTTGGATGGGGAGCTTCGCTGCACAGCTATTTTCAGGTCTCTCCAGAGATGTTCGATCAGGTTCAAGTCCGGGCTCTGGCTGGGCCACTCAAGGACATTCAGAGACTTGTCCCAAAGCCACTCTTGTGGTGTCTTGGCTGTGTGCTTAGGGTCATTGTCCTGTTGGAAGGTGAACCTTCGCCACAGTCTGAGGTCCTGAGAGCTCTGGAGCAGGTTTTCATCAAGGATCTCTCTGTACTTTGCTCCGTTCATCTTTCCCTCGATCCTGACTAGTCTTCCAGTCCCTGCCGCTGAAAAACATCCCCACAGCATGATGCTGCCACCACCATGCTTCACCGTAGGGATGGTGCCAGGTTTACTCTAGCCGTGACGCTTGGCATTCAGGCCAAAGAGTTCAATCTTGGTTTCATCAGACCAGAGAATCTTGTTTCTCATGGTCTGAGTCCTTCCCAAATACAGGTGTGCCACCGGGTTCTTGGTCAACTCCCTAAAAACCTGTTTTCGCTTTGTCATTATGGGGTGTTGTGCGTAGATTGATGAGGAAAATTGTTAATTTAATCCATTTTAGAATAAGGCTGTAATGTAACAAAATGTGGAAAAAGTCAAGGGGTCTGAATACTTTCCGAATGCACTGTAAACAACTGCCTCCCACGAAGCATCGTTAACACAGTGTCCAAGAAGGGCCAGTTGTATACAAAAAATGGTGTCGTCTGCGTAGAGGTGGATCTAGGCAGTCACCCGCAGACAAGAGCGAACATACATTGATATAACACGGAGCCAGGCTGTTACATACACTTCATATGAAATGAATGGGGTGGTAAGTGCTAAATGATTAACAACGCCATTTGCCAGTTAGCACAACATAGCTAGCTAGCTACTCCACTAACTCTTGGCAGCAAACAGGCAGCTGCTTCATTCAAAAACAAATCCATTGTGATTTAATTATGGTATTGCTAGCGATGCTAGTTATCTACACTGAACAAAAATATAAACGCAACATGCAACAATTTCAAAGGTTTCACTGAGTTACAGTTAATATAAGGAAATCAGTCAATTGAAATAAATAAATTAGGTCCTAATCTATAGACTTCACAACAAAAAAAAGTAGGGGTGGGGGTCAGAAAACCGGTCAGTATCTGGTGTGACCACCATATATTGGCGGGAACTGGAAAATGCATCCCAAACATGCTCAATAGGTGACATGTCTGGTGAGTATGCAGGCCATGGCAGAACTGGGACATTTTCAGCTTCCAAGAATTGTGTACAGATCCTTGCGACATGGGGCCGTGCATTATCATGCTGAAACTTGAGGTGATGGAGGCGGATGAATGACACGGCAATGGGCCTCAGGATCTCGTCACAAAATCTCTCTGCATTCAAATTGCCATCGTGTTTGTTGTCCATAGCATATGCCTGCCCATAGCATAACCCCACCGCCACCATGGAGCACTCTGTTCACAATGTTGATATCAGCAAGCCGCTCACCCACACGACGCCAGGATCTGCCATCTGCCTGGTACAGTTGAAACCGGGATTCTTCCGTGAAGAGCACACTTCTCCAGTGTGCCAGTGGCCATCAAAGGTGAGAATTTGCCCACTGAAGTCATTTACGACACCGAACTGCAGTCAGGTCAAGACCCTGGTGAGGATGACAAGCACGCAGATGAGCTTCCCTCAGACAGTTTCCGACAGTTTGTGCAGAAATTCCTCGGTGGTGCAAACCCACAGTTTCATCAGCTGTCCGGAAGGCTGGTCTCAGACGATCCCACAGGTGAATAAGCTGGATGTGGAGGTCCTGGACTGGCGTGGTTACACGTGGTCTGTGGTTTTGAGGCCGGTTTCTCTAAAAACGACATTGGAGACAGCTTATGGTAGAGAAATGAACATTCAATTATCTGGCAACAGCTCTGGTGGACATTACTGCAGTCAGCATGCCAATTGTATGCTCCCTCAAAACGTGAGTCATCTGTGGCATTGTGTTGTGTGACAAAACTGCAAATTTTAGAGTGGCCTTTTATTGTCCCCAGCACAAGGTGCACCTGTGTAATGATAATGCTGTTTAATCAGCTTCTTGATATGCCACACCTGTCAGGTGGATGGATTATCTTGGCAAATGATAAATGCTCACTAACAGGGATGTAAACAAATGTGTGCACAACATTTGAGAGAAATAAGCTTTTTGTGCATATGGAACATTTCTGGGGTCTTTTATTTCAACTCATGAAACATGGGACCAACACTTTACATGTTGCGTTTATATTTTTGTTCAGTGTAGTTGTGGTCATCTGGCTAGTATCTGTGGACGCATTTAGCTGCCTAAACTCCTTTTCCTAAATGGATATGCATTTTTGGTGACAAAATTCAATTGAAATGCAGGAAAATATATTGCATTATCATTTTCATGATTGAGTATGCATAATGTCTGCCAATTTGAAAAAGAAAAAGTGTGACATATTTAAAAATCAAATGGAAATGCTTAAATGACAAATCATGTATCATGTTTACCATTTCATTTCCTTGTTGTGATGGCATGAATCAATCAAATTAGATAAATAAATCGCAATGCTTCATTTTGCAATTTCGTTTCCTCATTTGAGTTATCGTTTTCGACCTGTGCTTGCTGGCAACAGTCACTTTCGGTCGATGTGGCATGTTTTTAGGCTTCACCGGCAACACCAGC